TGAGGAAAGGGGGGAAAGGGAGAGAGGGAAACTTTCAGGGTAGGGTTGGGTGGGGCAACATGGAACACGTAGGGACTGAAGGATGCTGGGACAACCTGGCAGCCAGGTAGGCTTTGATATGTTAAATAGGCGCCTCAGCCATTTGTCCCTGATTTAAGATCCGAGGACCCTTAAATTGAGAACCAGTTCCTTCTTCTCCTTTTTGGTTTTGGGGATTGAACTCAAGCCCTCCTACGTGTTAAGTTTGTGCTATACCACTGAACACCACCCCCTCAACTATATAATTCTGAAGATGGAAATTAACTTAGAAATATTGCATTGCAATCATGGAAACAGTATGGTAAACTGAGGTAGAAACTGATGTTGGCAGCTGTTGTCTAGAGATTTGAATAAGCTAAGAATCAGTGTGATTCATTTAAAAAGATCACCAAAATTCAGAAAAAGACTAAAGACGGAAATTAGATAAAGTGTTTTTTAGGGCTACATTCAGAGTTTGAGATCAAGGTGGCCAGAAGCAAAGAAATCCATGCCAGGCTAAAACCGGATCCTGGACGACAGCGGCTGTGTCCTAATGAGTTCCTTTTTCTTGTCCATGCTATAGGGTTTTGGGAGACCCATTCATGTTTACTTTTGTTGATTACCAGGGTTTTGTGGAAGACACAGTCCGCGCCAAGAGCCTGATCCTAGCGGTGAAAACAGACTTTCATCTAGGTGAATTTTGTTTATTTTAGGGACACTTAGCACTCAATCTTCACAGTCCCATTCTGGCCTAAGAGCTATCTATCTGGGCAGATGAGCTGTAATAGTCTTGAGCCACACAGTTGGGCATAGACTTTTAAAATGGGAGCTTGCAATTCGAAGCCAAATTCGCTATCCTCCCTGGGATGTCTCTTACAAAATCTTTACATATTGGAACTGTCTGATACAAACTTTCCCTAAAGGCTAATTTCCCTGTGCACTAAGATTTGGCCTCAATAAGATATTGATAATGGGACACATTGGCCACCAGAGGGAAGCCTTGAGCTTACCATCCTTCAAGACCTAGAAAATTTTGTCACTGTGGGGACAAATAGAGCTCTCCACTATCCATGACTTTGGGGCTCTGCACTCCTGGCCCTCCCTCAGTAGCCAGTGTCTTGCAGCACTGGTCTGGGATGCTAGGACTGCGGCACCTCCAAATTCCCGGTCTACTGGGAATTGGGACCCTGATAATTCCAATTGGACCATGCAGCCAGAGGCACTTGCCCCTCCCCCACTCCCTCAAACCCTCACTACCCACCCCACATGCGAGCAATGTTCTCCACATTTCTCTCCTTCCCCACCCTCACCTACCGCCTCCCTAGCGAACCGGAAGTTGAAGGTCAACTTCTTCCTTTCCCCCCTCCTTCCCTACCTCCCCCTCCTACCACAACTTCCAATCCCTGGATCCCCTGTTCACACTGAGCTAGCCCCTCCCAATCCTCCCCTGTCTCCTCCTATACCAGATCCCACCATAATTCTGTTCTTCTCTGCCCTCTTCAGGAAGTGGTGGGAGTCAATGGCGCAATAAAAGTCCATATTCCCTTTTCTCTTCCGAATATCTCTCAGATAAAAAAGTGGCTGTCTTTCTTTTCTACTAATCCTTCTGCTTATATTAAAGAGTTTTGTTATCTGTCCCAGACCTATGTTCTAGTCTGGCATGACTACTACATCCTCCAAGCTTCTACTCTCACTCCTGAGGAGCCACGTAGAATTCAGGAAGCACTGAGACAATATGCAGACCAGACTCGTTTGGTAGACAGTACAGTCCGTATGGGGAAGTGGCCATGCTGGCCAGAGAACCACACAGGGATTACAAACCTGGCCAAAGCGCTGACAGAGGCGGGACATCATGGTTCTTTGCCATGAAACTGGTATCAGAAAAAGTAGTTAATTTTGACAAACTTCAAGAGATTACACAGCTAGCTGATGAAAATCCAGACATTTTTTTAAAAATCGGTTCCAAGAGACCACAGGAGCCATAGTCTTGGCTACCCATTTTATTTCTCAGTCAGCACCAGATATTGGAAAAAAGGAATTGGTGAAAATGGCCCTTAAATTTTTTAATGCATGTATCAGTTTGTATTAGGAAGGCCAATTTTCTTTAGGTTTACTTCAAACAACTTTGTTGCAAGTGTCAAAAGAAAACCAAGTAGAAGCAATCCAGTGTCAGACAAGCGCACAGAATGCTTTGACTCTCTGCCATGTTTCCATCACAAAGTGTTTAGATCTTACACACCTGGATATTGGTATGGGGATACCTAGGTCTTCTGAATGAAAGCTTAGATTATTCTAGGAAAAAAGATAAAAGCACAAATTCCATTGATGTTTTTGGAGAGAAGGAGAGGAAAGATCCACCACTGTAAGTCAGCCAGGCAGGAGCCTCATGACTATAATCATGACTCTGGGAGGCTAAAGCGGCAGCTTCAGGAGTTCAAGGGTAGTCTGGGCTTCTTGGCACTCTGTCTCCACAAACAAAACCAAACCAGAAAGCTGTCTGGGAAGAAATAAAAAGTAAGGAATATAAAGATGAATAAAAATAATAAGACAGAAAACATAGGACAGTATTGGGAGGGTATTCCAGGATAAGTCAGACCCTGAAAATCAGCGTTTATTTTCCCACAGGACTCAGCAGCATTTGCTGGTACCATGTGCACTGGGTGGCTAGGAAAATGGGAGGACCCATGTTTTGTCTCCAGAGGCTAGGGCGGCTCAAAGGCTGTGTGCTCACATTGCCTTGGTGTAAGTCACGGGGAATTCAGACAAAGTGCTCCACTGTGGTAATTTCCTCCTGGAGTTTGGGTTCTTGTTCTGCTTTTGACCCTCACTTCTCCATTCCTCCTTGTAGATCTGGTCCAGGTTCACCCAGGTTTCATTTATTCCAGAGTGGGAGCTGCCCCCCCCCCTAGCTCCCTAACTGAAGCAGGGCCTTATCCCTGTGACTACTAATTGTTTTCCTACTTTTTCAATGTGAAGTTCTCAAATTTTTCTCAAGGCTTTTTTTAAATTTCTGTCTTCTGCAGCAGGCTTTAATTAGTTATTTCACTCATGGTGTCCTGGTGAAAGGGGGATGGGTGGGTGCATGGAGGCTGTGGAATGTTAGGTATTTTCTCTTGGATGGTCTGTTCCAGGGTGGTGCATGAGTGGTCTTTCTTGGAATCAGGTGTTGCATTAGGGTAAAATAAAATTTAGGTCTCTATTGAACTTGTCATGGCTGGGCCCTTCAGTGACTATTTTGTTGTTGTTGTTGTTGTTGATCTTGTATTGGTTGGTGAGAATATAAAATTAGTATAGGAATTATGGAAAACAGCACAGAGCTTTCTCAAGAACTAAAAATAGGAGGACGGGAGATATGACTCAGTGGATAAGAGTGCACAGTGTTCTTACCAACTTCGATGCCCAGCACCCACACTGGGTGACTCACAAACAGCCTAACTCTAGCTACAGAGTGACTGACACTCTCTTTGGACTGTAGCCTTCACTCATATGCACAGACACACATATGCACAAGTAATTTTAAAATATGTAAGAAAATCTTTAGAATAAATTAGAACTACCAGATGATCTAGCAAATCCACTGAGTGTGTATAGTCAAAGAAAGTAAAGTCAAAACCTTAATAGTGTCTGACTCCATGTTCATCCAAGAGTCAAGCCATGGAAGCAACATAAGTGTCAAGAGAGTAAGGAAACTGTCATCTATGAGAATTTCATTTACTCATGAAACAAAAATGAGAAAGCAGGTCTTATAATCCCATACCTTGGAAGGCTGAGGCAGGAGACTCACAAGTTTGAGACCAGTCTGACTATACATCCAAGCTGCTTTGCTTGCTTGCTTGCTTTTATTTTTTTGTTGTTATGGATGAACCTGGAGGACATTGCCATAAGTGAAATAAGCTAGAAAAATATCTTTTATGTGATCTCACATGTAAAATCTAAAGAACTCAAATACATAATTGCCAGGGGTGGTGTTGGTCAAAGGGCATAAGGTGCAACTAAGTGGAAAGCCTAGAACTCTAAAGCACAGGATGACGACTGTAGCTAAACACTGTCCGTGTAAGATCACAGCAACAGTTCTCACGAATGAGTCAGTTTATTCAGGAGGCAAATCTGAGTCATCATGGCCCAGAAACACAAATTTAGGTTATCCCAAATTCTGTGTTCCAATGTGAAGTCTGTTTTGTGAGGTATCTATAGTTACAAAACAATGAAAGTCACAAAACAAGGCATTTGAAAAAAAAAAAGTGCATTGATGGGGCTGGAGAGATGGCTTAGTCATTCAAGGCTAGGCTCACCAGAGAGATTGGTATGGGCAGAGAGGGATCTCAGCTACAAGTCTCAGATGCTATCTGATAGCATTCATTGGACCTTTGGTTGGTTTTGTTAAAACACTCCAAAGTTTGTGTTTTGAATCTGTTCACTAGGATATTAGCTCCCAAACCACAAAGTGGGCGAAGAATACATCTTTAGGAACTAATGACAGCATGAGATAATAGGACTCTGGACCTGCAACATTCCAAACCCTCCAAGGTCATTGAGTTTTATTCAACAACCTCTGTAGACATAGACTTTTCACAGGGATTCCCACTAACACAATACTGTACCACATCAGAGATATGCTAGAGAATAGATTTTGTCCTCTCTATCACACACCTATACATAGAAAGTAACTATGAGAAGGTGTGCTATGCTAACTCTGTGACTTGTATTTGTTATTCTATAAATTCTATAGAAAGAGAAAAGATTACTTTTCCTAGGCATATCTCAGTCCCTCTACAATGCATGATAAATAACTCCTCTATTCCATCGGCTTGCAAGACTATGTGTCTATTTCAAAATAGCCAGTATGGTTCCTGTTTCAGCACAATACAGTCACACCCCTTATGCAAAATAAGATATACCAGATTAGAACCTAGTATCTGCAGATTAGCACCCGGAATCTCACCAGCACAGACACTGCACTTAGTAAGTCCTTCGTTCTCAACATGCTTGACCTGGACTCCTGGCTTCACACTACTCACGATGTCTTGCTGCTGACTATACTGCTGGGACTCCCAGGTGAGCATGCTCAGGAGTACAACCATACCTCCTGTGTGAAGGGGAAAGTATTGACTCAGGACTCCCAAGGTCAAGTTCTCAGACCCAGTTCTCAGGACAAAGATTTATTTACCCCAGAGAGACAATAACAGGAAGCAGAGAAAGAGGGGAAGGGAATCAGGGAAAGGGAGCTGGGATATTTGTCCTGGAGAAACAAAGTACTGCCTCTGGATAAAGAGGAGACAGACGTGGCACATAGGAAAATGTCATTTTATAAAGGAAAATAATAAACCCCTTGTTAGAAAGAGGTGCTTAATTGGGCATGTTAATTAGGTGAGCCCAAGAAGGCTTTTGATTGCTGGGTTTTAATACATTGATAACAGAAGGTTGGCAGTCAGCCCCAGGAAAAGGGATTGTCCAAATAAGAGAATAGACCTTAGGGTACTAGCTTCAGGAATGTAATCTGATGGTTTTTAGCAAGGCAGAACGAATAGGGGAGAAGGTCAATGTCTGTTAGAGCCACATGCTCCAGTGGGCTAGTGTCCTCTTCACTGTGAATAGAACTGCCACAGGAGAGAATCTCAGAACATTGTTCATTTTCTAGAGGCAGTGTCTGGAGTATTGCTCTGTGAGTCCATGGGTTCCCGTAGGTGACCAGAAACATTCTATCTGGAAATCATTAAAAATAATTAAATTTTTCTAGTATTAAAGCTAACAAATTTACTTCAGTAGAACTCCACTTAAATCCATGGAACTCTGAGTCCCATCAGAGACAGCATGTCAGTTCCAAAGCAGTGGATGGCCTGTCTCCACCCTCGGCACTCTCTGCTCCCTTCCTGAGTCAGGGCAGTGACATGGCTAGAGGGAAGTGTCTCTGGCAGTGCTCAGCCATCATCATCCTTCTCACTAAGTTTCCTCATTCTGTCCCCCAGTTCCTTCCTCATCTAGAGGGAAGTGTCTCTGGCAGTACTCAGCCATCATCATCCTTCTCACTAAGTTTCCTCATTCTGTCCCCCAGTTCCTTCCTCATCTAGAGGGAAGTGTCTCTGGCAGTACTCAGCCATCATCATCCTTCTCACTAAGTTTCCTCATTCTGTCCCCCAGTTCCTTCATCTGACCACAAACTTCTCACTGAGTGCTGCTGTCTTACTAGTGCTTGTGTTTTATTGGTAGGGTTGCCACGGCGTTGTACCACAGACTGGTAATCAATACAATCAATAGTCATTCATTTTATCGTAGTTCTGGAGGCTGGAAACCCAGGGTCAAGATGACCACTAAGATATTTTCTTCCATGATGCCTCTCCTATTGTGAATCCTACCTTCTCCTTCTCTCCATACAAGATCTCACTTCAGACTGTTTCTGTGGATGTTTTGTTTCTTGAAATGAAAGCAGTCACATTGGGTTAAGATCCACCTTAATTGACTTTTACTCCTTCAAAGACCCTGTTTCAAATATAGTCACATTATGAGGTACTGGGCTATGGCTTTGCTATGTAGGGTGTGAGCAATTCATCTATACCAGGTACTCACACATCCCTGATCTTGTTGATATTCTCCAGGGAGCTTTGTTTCCCTTCATCAATAAGAATTATTGACACTCTGAGTGGTCCCTGCCATGATTCTCAAAGGTTGTTTGTCCTCAGTTCCTTCTTTGTCCGTTAGAAAAACTTAATGACTTCAGATCAGGGCTTATCATCCCTCAGGCTCCCCACTTTGGTTAGGGGAGCTATTGTGTCATCTGATAATAGAAGTCAAGCTTTTAATCTGTCCTCACTGTACTCTGACTGCAGCTGATACTAGCAATGATTGATAAGACCTTCTGGAGATTTTAGCACTTTCTGAAACTTTTGTTTTTTAATATCTCAAATTAATATATAATTACATCTTTTTTCCCTAGTCCCATTCTCTTATTCATTGACTCTGTTTCTTTAACTGTTCTCACTTTCTTTTTCTCCCTCACTCACTTCATATGCATATCTCCTCTGTATCTCTGTTTTTGTCTCTCTTTCAAACACACACACACACAAACACACACATTCCTAAATATATAAAAACAATTTGCTCAGTCTATATACTGTTACAGGAACAAGGACAACACCAATACACATGACAGCATTAAAGGAAAATATTTTTCACTGACAGACATTGTGTGTCCTTGCTCTGCCTTTATATTCACATTTCAGCCTTGCTTGCGTTATTCCTGTCTCCATACCATAATCATCTGTTTTCCTACAGTCTCCAATGCAACAAAATAGCCAGCAGACTGAAATTTCTAAAATGTGATATTTAGTACAACTTTGGCTTTTATTGGCTAATTTATCTTAGGAATTTACTTCAGTATTGTGAAGTTGTCTAGTACAAATGTCATACTTGGAGTATGAAATATACCCAAAAATTCGTGTATTAAAGCCTTTGTTCCCAGCTGATGGAACTACTGTGAGAGATGATTGGGTGTTAGAAAGTAAGGTGGACATGAACCCCATTATACTCTGTCTTCGTGAGGAAGTTTTGCCTCCCCTGAGACCACAGCAATGGAGACAGTCAGCACTGTGATCCCTGAACTGTCTGAAACATGGAGTCAGATGTAATATTATTTATTTGCACCCTCCATTATTTTTCAAATAAATAGAAAGATAATTTAGCAAGCCATAACTATCACCAGATGTACATCTATACCTAGAGCTAGATACAGCTCCATAATCTGGACCAAGCTCCATGACACCATGCAGATACCCAGTGTCAGTGAAAGATCCATGACCTAGAAAATTATCTGAGAAATTACTTTTCAATGCCATGTGCGTGAGCACTCGCCATGTCCCAACTACTGTAGAATGTACTCCTCTGTTCTACCTCATGTGGGCCTACATGTCAGGTTAATGCTCTTGTCACACTGCCACAGCACAGAAGAAGAAGCACAAACAACCCTGACGGCAATGTCTAGAGCTCTGGTTTGAATTCAGTTTGATTGACTGAGGTCATAGGATTATCCATCACTCCTCCCAGAGACTTTCTTCTATTCCATGAGCTTTAGCTGGTGAAATGGGCACAGGGTCTGTGGGTCTCTGCTCCTGTGCTCTTCAGCTTCCTCCTTACATGCAAACAGTTTTTATTTGAAAATGTCATTCACATGGGAAACAAGGTTTCTATTTCTACATCAATCAGCAATTTCAAATGAGTGTGAGTCACATGGGAAGATGCACACTGAGCAAATCACATGTACGGGAGAATTTGTTGAGTCCTGACTATGAAGTAGAGACTGTGGACAAAACTTATCAACTATCCTTCACTTTTACTGTTGTGTAAAGTGCTCTTTTCTTTGCTGAAACAATTTTCCCCTGCATCCCATGGCACTTGACAGGCTTGAGGTTGGCTGTTGTTGCTGTTCCCCTGGATACATTGAATACTGAGGCTGCACCCCCTGTGGTAGTGTTCTGGGATTTCTGTGTACTTACGGATGAGGGTATAAAGGACTCTACCTTCCACAACCCTAACTTGGTAAAGTCAGAAACTCTTCTGATGTGGGAGTGTCATATATCAATCTGTTGATTTCATTGGTTAAGCAATAAAGAAACTGCTAGGCCCATTTGATAGGCCCACCCTTAGGTGGGTGGAGTAAATAGAACAGAAGGCTGGGAGAAAGAAGCTGAGTCAGTGAGTCGTCATGATTCTCACACTCCAGACAGAGGCAGGTTAAGATCACTCCTGGTAAGCCAGCTCGTGGGCTACAGCAGATTATTAGAAATGGGCTAGTCCAGGTACGAGAGCTAGCCTAGAAGAGGCTAGATAGAAATGGGCCAAGCAGTGTTTAAAAGAATGCAGTTTCCGTGTAATTATTTCGGGTAAAGCTAGCCGTGGGGGCGGCCGGGTGCCGGGGACGCAGCCCGCCGCTCCCTATTACAACACTCTTCCCTTGCTTAGATGTACACAGTTAGAGCAGCCTGGACTCTAGAGATGGGACAGAGAAGAAGGATGGAGTTTCTCCCAAGCAAAGCTGCTGTGCAGACTCTAGTTCTCCCTAAATAGGCTAAAGCCGGGAAGGACTGGATGCTTCTTCTAGCTGGGATCATCTTCATCCACGCAAACAAAATTTGATGAGATTCTCAAATCCACTCTTCAAACCAGATTTCACAGGTGTCAGGATAATTAGTTCAGTTTTCTGTTCTCTCCTCCCAGAAACACAAGGTCCTAGCACTCACTTGATGACTTCCTTCTTTCTCTCTCTCTCTCTCTCTCTCTCTCTCTCTCTCTCTCTCATAGTTGGTTGACTCAAGGAGCAGCTGGCTACTGCTTCAGTTCTTTGTGAAAGATGAGGTGGGTCCCGGGCACATGACATTGACTTTTAAATCTCCTCATATTTACCATTTTACTTTTATAGAATCAAATTACTTTGTAAGGATCAAAGACATTATTTTACTTTAGTTTCTATTAAGTATGTTAGAGTATCACTGCTAATAAGAAATGTTGCAGAGGACTGGCTACTACTCGTGTGTCATGTTTAAGCATGTCTATTGGAAAAGCAAGCCATACATAATGTTTCTATACTTTTTGTTTCATCTCTGTCTCTACATTATAGGTCCCATTGCTCAATAAAATTTCAAATTACAACTTTGTTTTTAAATACAATATTAAATCAGTTCACGACGTTTTGATAGTTGCTACATTTTTCAAATTCTGGACTTAACCTTATCTTAATACAAAAACTAATTAGGTCTTTTTAATCTTTATGATTTTTCTAAATTTTTTCTTAAAACATTTGGTCAAGGAATTTAGGATTTCCAGTTCAACAAATTATGGAACTTTGAGAAAATTATTTATATAATTTTGCACATAGCTATGCCAAAATGTAAATTATTGTATAGGCTCATATGGTCTACCCCATTCCTATTATTTTTTCCCATATTTCATTTTTAATTAGTAAGTATTATAAGACTATCAACATGCTTCCTAGATTTGTTATTACTCATTACTCAAGTTTTAATTTCACAAAGTTGCCCTTTGCTTTTGGCTTCAGTTATCAAGGGAAGCAGATTTTCCACATCAGACATTCTTGTTTGAGACCTAGCAGTGTCTCCCATCCTTCCTAGCAGCTCCAGGTGTATGTCTTTCCCTCAGGCTATTAATGAGAACCACCAGGTGGAAGATTAAAGTCACCATCGTCAAAAAGCCTAAGTATAAGTTGGGAGCTCGGGATGCTTTATGAAATTTTAAAATTCAGAGTACACTCAGAGTTGTATTGTCTTCTAAACTAGGCTTTATTCTCTGGGATTCTTTATTTCAACACAAGGGAAACCCATTAGCATTTCCTGAAGGACAGGTATTGATATCTCCAAACAGGAATCATTGTAATAAACTCAGATTTTTAGCTACAAAGCCTGTTTTCTCTCTTGTTTTGGTTCCCTAGTGTTGCACTGTGTGGAATCTTGGGTTTTATTTAAATTCTGGATGTGTTTTCTCTTTTAGAACTGTGAGTACACACACTGTCTCATGGCCTCCTGGATGTTAGCACTTCTGATAAGAGCTGTGATCCTATCATTTAGCAGGACAAGATGAGTCATGCTTCATCCAGACAGCACTCAGCATACTCTTACTACTCTGCTTTTGTCTGTTGGATTCTAGCGTCTGCTGGTGTGTGTCTCTGAGTTTATTTCACACTGAATTAGTCAGTTTGTTGGACTTATAGTTCTTATATTTTAATAAATCAGGAAAGCTTTAGACAACAGTGGTTTTCCAATAATCTTGTCACTACACTCCAAATACCAAAATTTTTTTTATTTGTTGTACCTCTGCCCCTGCAGTGCTGCCTAAGTAATGTTATGATACATATTTCCATGATTTTAGATGTTTTTTGCAACCGGCTAAATCCTCTGTGGAGACTGTCCATTGGAATAATAAATATTGTATTTATTATTATAATAATATATTATAATTATATTATAATTCTATATCAACTTCTCAATATCATTCAGTTCCTTCTCATAGTTTCTCTCCATTTGATGTTATACTTTGCTATTCAGACTCTTCATTTCTTTAGTACTTTTCCTTACTTTCCTTTTGCTCTTTTCATATCTTAAATGAATGTTGCACAGTCTTGGTCCAGTAGTATAGGACAGTGCAGCACAATGCAGTCCTACAAGATCACCAAGTTCAGGCAAGAAGGAGACAGATGTGTCAGCTATGGGACTTAAGAGTAAATGGGTAAATAGGGTGCTGTGATGAGAAAAAAGGCGACAAGAGAGAGTGTCCCCAGATGACCACACCAAGTGCAAGGGAACAAACAGGGCCTCCTGGAGGGCGGGGCACTGTGACCCCTTGGTAGCAGCCATGTCACACCAAACTAGAACTTCTGACTTCCAAAGCGTGACATAAAACTTTTCTGTTGTGTTAACCCTTTACCTTTGTAGGAATCTGTTCTGTTATGTCACCCTGGAAGTTACTATAATGTTGGGACCAGACAGAGATGGTTTGGGAGTTAAGACCACTTGCTATTCTTCCATGGGACCCAGGTTTCAGTCTGAGCACCCACATGGTGACTTATAACTAGTATAACTTCAGTTCTAAGGTCTGTGACACCAAACTGGTAACTTAAACCGGGCCTTTATTTCTCTAATTAATGTGCATGTTATTGCATGTTGGGAAATATCTATGAAATTATCACTCCACTTGGTAAAGCAACCCCCCTGACTTGGGACCTCCCCTAGAATCTGGTAATCAAATGTACATTTCACTAACTATACCTCAAACTTAACATTTACATCACTGGTCTCAAAGAGTCATGTAATCACATCCAGTACTATTGTATAAGAAGTGCAACATGCCATGTGCACAGAAAATGAAAACCAAGTAATACTGGCATGAGAATGTCAAACAATATTGGGTCTTCACAAAAATACTGCCAAAGACTCATTGTCTCTGAGACTCATTTCTTCCTCTCTTACATTTGTTTGCTAAGAGGCCCAAGTGAGGGGAACTGTGATCACCCCATGCTGAGGTCTAGAAAGTTGCAGTATTTGATGACAATCTAGAGGAGCCTGTAGGTTGTGGGTTCTCGTCATGATGAGCACTAACTGATGTTTCCTGCAGGAGCAGCTTCACGGGATCTGAAGGTGATTCAGCCTGAGAAAGCAGTTTCTGTCCTTGCTGGAGAGTCAGCCACTCTGAACTGCACTGTGACTTCCCTGCTCCCAGTGGGGCCCATGTTGTGGTTCAGGGGCACAGGACAGTGTCGGAAACTAATATATAGTTTCACAGGAGAGAAGTTTCCCAGAGTCACAAATGTTACAGATGTTACAAAGAGAAACAACCTGGACTTTTCCATCCGCATCAGTGATGTCACAACTGATGATGCTGGTACCTACTACTGTGTGAAGATCATCAGAACAGACTCTGACAAGGAGATTCAGTCAGAGGGAGGCACAGTGCTGTATGTGCTTGGTAAGTACTGCATTGTCCTCCTCACCCCTCATATTGCCAACAAGTCAAAATGCGTCCAAGATTGTGTGATCAACAATGAAGAAGCAAGCCTGTAAGTGACCCTCATGTTCATAGGGTGACTTTACCCAGCTGAAGGCCAAGGAAGCTGAGGAGAGGACATGCTATGTGCTAGCGGTTCCATTTCTGGTAATTGGGGGTAGACTCATACCCTTGTCTGCATCACAATATCTACCTTTCTTAATCTGTCCCAGCCTAGTGGCTACATAAAGACAGCTGATGCCATGTTCAGGGACAAACCTGGCCTACTGTGTCCAGAGTGTATTACCTCACCCAATTAAGACTTCTCTTTCTGCCAGACAACCTGAGCCTAGTGTATGCCAGGTTCCGTTCTAGATGTCAAACAGCGAGAAGCAGGCAAGCATGAGCTCTTTCCCAAAGATGTGAGTCTCCTCCCCACCACGAAGAAAACAAATCAAGGCAAAAAGTGAAAAGCCCAGGGCACAGTATGGTTTTCTTACTTGTTCTTTGTCCACAGCACACTGAGATCCATTGGTATGAGCCCACATTCACTGTGGAATCTCTCACCCCTGGTTTACATCTTTGTTCTGGGTCTCTCTGGAAACATTTTGTGTCCTACCTGCACAGGAACTGGAGGTTCTGGGCAATGGAGACTTAAGTCCTGGAGTTAGTCTCCATGTAAATGATCCCCAGTGACAGTCCTGGAGTTAGTCTCCATGTAAATGATCCCCAGTGACAGTCCTGGAGTTAGTCTCCATGTAGATGATCTCCAATCACAGTCCTGGAGTTAGTCTCCATGTAGATGATCTCCAATCACAGTCCTGGAGTTGGTCTCCATGTAGATGATCTCCAATCACAGTCCTGGAGTTAGTCTCCATGTAGATGATCTCCAATCACAGTCCTGGATTTGGTCTCCATGTAGAGCGAGTCCACAGGGGGTACTCACTTCACAGACTCTCCCTGCAAGCGCAGTATATAGGTCTGCTATACTGGAGGAGTGAAGTCATATAATACATTTAGAGAAACTACTGACTTGTAGGAAATGTCTCATCAATGTGAGCTTTGTTACTCAGAAGTCATGTGACCTTGGACACTTACTTTCCCGCTCCAGGCCTTAGTTATCAATTAAGTTGAGGGTGTGGGTTGGTGATTCTCAACCTGGTTTTTCTCTTTTCTTTGGAATAATGTGGGAAACATAGATAAATCTAAGATCCATGTTTCTGTATTTGATGTGATATGGGTTTTGGCATTTTAAATTATTAAATGTCTCAAGAATGTTCTAATATGCAGCTTGGGTTTAAATTATTCTCAGATACATTTTATGAAACAACATGAGATATTTGTGATTAGTCCCTTGATAGACCTGTTACGTCACCAAGCTGAGGAAGAACCAACCCTTACGCTTCAGAATAGCAGTGCTCACCATGCTGCACAAAATACCCTAAAGATCAAGTAACTGGTATTTCTTATGAATATTTCTCTTATGAGAAATGCCAGGAACATTTCTGAGGGAGGAGACCCCAGGGTCCCCAAGATCCAACCAAGGCAGAACACTTTTCAACTCCAATCTCAGGCACAACTCATATATTGCACAGGGCTGCAGAGGAACAATCTCTGAGGCCTGACGTTTCTCTTTCACTGAGAACTCTACTTAATGGCACAGTATGTTGCTGAGCTGTGTCCTTCAACCTTCTCATGCTCATCTGCTCTCTAAAATTAGCCCTTCTGGAGGAAGTGCTTGCAGTCATGATTGTGCTGTAAAAACCACTGGACAACTTAGTAAGAAGATCCCTAAGAAAGAGGAGGATGTCAGAGTACAGAACAGTGTTTCTCAGCCTGTGGTTCACAACCTGTCTGCTGGTTGAACAGAAAAGCAGTTTCATATCAGATATTTATATTATGATTTATAAAAGTAGTAAAATTACAGTTATGAAGCAGTAACAAAAGTAATTTTATGGTTGATGGTCACAACCACATGAGGAATAAAGGGTTGCAGCATTAGGAAGGTAAGATACAAACTCCTCAGAGTTTTGGCGGGCTTGAGTGCATAGATGACCCAGGTAAAGATCTCTGATGATAAACTCCTTGTGTCTTCTCTAATGGTTCCTCCTACCACTTGATTTCCAGAACTGAAGACATCAGATACTGCTGAAATCCTTGTGGCTGTGCTTCTTGTACCCAAAATGCTACTGGTAATTGGTGCCTCTGCGATCTACATGTACAAGAAGCAGAAGGCCTGACTGTAAGTTAGGAGGGATGGAGGAGGTGTTAGTTACTATCTCTTGACATGACAACACAGCACGATGAAAACAACTTACAGAATAAAGGGTTTCTATGGTCTCACTGGTCCAGCAGCATGAGTCCATCAAGCCTGAGAAGAGTGGAAGCAGATCAGGGAGTAGAGAGCTCACATCCTCAGTGGGGAGCATGAAACATAAAGGATAAACTGGAAGTGTGACAAGTCTTTTTAATATCACAGCTCACCTCCTTAACATACTTTCTCTGGAAGTGCTACACTGCCTAAACCCCACCAAAAAGTAACACTGACTGAAAAACAAATATATCTATCTCAAGCTCATAGGCACTTGGCTTTGAAATATTGTTTATATTTTATTATTTTTAATTGGGCTACATATATATTCCCTACTCTCCTTCCTCCTCTCTCTGCTCTGCTCTCCCCCTCTGACCCCCATGCTCACAGCTGACTTAGGAGATCTTGTCTTTTTCTCCTTCCCAGTCAAATCCATGTATTTCTCTCTTAGGCTTTTCTTTGTTGTCTAGGTTCTCTGAGGTTGGGGATTGTAGGCTGGTTATTCTTTGTTTTATGTCTAAAACAACTTATGCGTAAATGTATCCTTATCCATTCTTCAATAGAGGAGCATTGAGACTGTTTCCAGGTCTGGACATTACGAATAATGTTGCTATAAACATGGTTGAGCAAATGTCCTTGTTGTATGATTGAGCATCTTTTGAGTATACGCCTAAGAGTGGTATTTCTGGGTCTTGAGATAGAATGATTTCTAATTTTCTGAGAAATTTCATACTGGTTTCCAAACTGATTGTACCAGTTTGCACTCCTAGCAGCAATGGAGGAGTGTTTCCTAATTCCACAACCACTCCAGCATAACTTCTCATCAGTACTTTTGTTCTTGGCCATTCTGACAGGTGTAAGATGGTATCTCAGAGTTGTTTTGATTTGCATTTCTCTGATGGATAAGGATGTTGATATTTCCTTAAATGTCTTTCAGCCATTTGAGATTCCTATGTTGAGAGTTCTCTGTTTAGGTCTGTACTCTTTTTTTTAATTGGATTTTTTTATTTTTTTGATATCTAGTCTCTTGAGTTCTTTGTGTATTTTGGAGATCAGCCCTTTGTCTGATGTGGGGTTTGTGAATATCTTTTCCCATTCTGTAGGCTGCCGTTTTGTCTTATTGATCATGTCCTTTGCTGTACAGAGCTTTCAGTTTCAGGAGTTCCCATTTCTTAATTGTTTCTCTCAGTGCCTGTGCTTCTGGGGTTATATTTAAGAAGTGGTTTCCTGTGCCTATGTGTTCAAGGTTCCTTCCCACTTTCTCTTCTATGAGGTTCAGTGTGGTTTGTTTTGTGTTCAGGTCTTTGATCCATTTGGACTTGAGTTTTGAGCATGGGGATTCTACGAGTCTATATCCAGTCATATCAGCACCATTTGTTGAAGATGCTTTCTTTTTTTTCCATTGTATAATTTTAGCTTCTTTGTCATAACTTATATGTTCATAGGTGTATAGATTGATATCCAGGCCTTCAGTTTGATTCCATTGGTTCTCCTATCTGTTTTTCTGCTAATACCAAGTGGTTTTCATTACTGTAGCTCTATACTAAAGTTTGAAGTCAGTGATGCCTCCAGAAGTTACTTTATTATACTGGATTGTTTTGGCTATCCTGGGTTTTTGTTTTTCTATATGAAGTAATGTTTTTGAGGTATGTGTAGAATTTTGCTGGGATTTTGATGTGTATTGCATTGAATCTATAGATTGCTTTTGGTAAGATTGCCGTTTGTTTGTTTGTTTGTTTTTATTTATTCATTTATTTATTTTGATTTTTGAGATAGGGTTTCTCCGTAGCTTTTTGGTTCCTGTCCTGGAACTAGCTCTTCTAGACCAGGCTGGCCTCGAACTCACAGAGATCCTCTGCCTCTGCCTCTGCCTCCCAAGTACTGGGATTAAAGGCATGTGCCACCACCGGCAGGATTGCCATTTTTGCTATTTAATTTTACCTATTTAAGAACATGGGAGATTTTTTTTATTTTCTGGTGTGTTCTCAATTTCTTTCTTCAAAGATGTAAAGTTCTTGTCATACAGGTTTTTCACTTGTTTTCTTAAAGTTACCCCAAGATAATTTATGTCATTTGTAGCTATTAAAAAGATGATGTTTAGCCAGGCGGTGGTGGTACACGCCTTTAATCCCAGCACTCGGGAGGCAGAGGCAGGCGGATCTCTGTGAGTTCTAGGCCAGCCTGGTCTACAAGAGCTAGTTCCAGGACAGGCTCCAAAGCTACAGAGAAACCCTGTCTCGAAAAACAAAAAACAAAACAAAAGAAAACCAAACAAACAAACAAAAAAAGATGATGTTTCTCTGATTTCTCTCTCAGACCACTTATCATCTATATATAGGAGGGCTACTAATTAAGGTGCTTATCAATTGTAGGAGTTCCCTGGTGTTATTTTCGGGGTCACTTATGTATAATATCATCAGCAAACAATGAAAGTTTGACTTTTTCTTTTGTAATTTGAATTCCTTGATCTTCATTTTTTGTCATATTGCTGTAGCGATAACCTATAACTTCAAGTACTATACTGAATAGATATGGAGAGAGTCCTTTCTTGTTTCTGATTTAAGAAGGATCACTTTGAGTTTCTTGCCATTTAGTTTGAGGTTGGCTGTTGATTTTCTGTATATTCCTTTTTTATGTTTAGGTATGTTCCTTGTATCTCTTCTTGTATTTCCTTCTAGTACATTTTGTAGGGCTGGATTTGTGGAGAGGTATTGATTAAATCTGGTTTCATCATGGAATATATTGTTTTCTCTATCTATGTTGAATGAAAGATTAGCTGGGAATATTAGTCTGGATGGCATCCACGATCTTTTAGCCTCACCTTCTGACTTATATTGTATCTACTGAGCAGTCAGGAGTAATACTGATAGGTCGTCCTTTATATGTTACTTGGCTTTTTTTTTTCTTTGTAGCTCTTAATATTCTTTCTTTATTCTGTATTTTTAGTGTTTTTATTATGAGGTGAGGGGAATTTCTTTTTTGGTTCAGTCTATTTGATGTTCTGTAAGCTTCTTGCATTTTTATAGGTTTGACCCTTTTTGGTTATGAACACTTTTTCATTTGACTTTGTTGAATATATTTTCTGTGCCTTTGAGCTGAATTTTCTTCAATTCCTATTATTTTTATTCTTTTTTATTCAATTCCTTATTCTTTTTATGGTGTCCCATATTTCCTGGTATTTTGTCTTAAGAATTTGTTGGATTTAGCATTTTTCTTTGACTTATGAATCTCTTTCCTCTATCATGTCTTCAAGGCCTATGATTCTCTCTTCTATCTTTTCTATTCTGTTGTTTACGCTTACATTTGTAGTTTCTGATCATTTATTCAGATTTTCTATCTCCATTTTCCTTTAAATTGTGTTTATTTTTTATTGACTCTATTTCAGTTTTCAAGTCGTGAACTATTTCTTTCACTTCTTTGACTGCTTTTTCTTGGTTTTCTTTATGGAATTTGTTGATTTCTTCCAATTTTTTGTTTGTCTTTTCCTCCATTTCTTTAATTTTTATTTCCTCTTTAAAGACCTCAATCATCTTCATAAAGTTATTTTTAAGGTAATTTTCTTCTGCTTCATCTGCATTGTGATGTTCAGGCCTTGCTGTTGTAGAACTACTAGTGTACGGTGGTGTTGTCTTGCTCTTTATGTTGTTGAGTGTATTCTTACCCTGTTGTCTACACATCTCTTCCTCCAATCAGAACAGGTAGAGTCTGTGTTTCAGGGGGTCCATTTTATCCAAATGGTATAGTTGGGGGGTTGCTCTGTTGATTGCTTCTTCAGGAGTGGGCAGAAGAAAGCCTTTGGTCATTGCTCCTCCAGGTGCCTATGGGCCCGAGGCTCAGATGATCATTCCTCCTGGTGTTGGCAGGGTTGATGCTGAAGCTCCAGTGGTCAGATAATGTCTGGAGGCCACTGCTACCATCATGGCCCACTGCATTGTTGCTCCCACTTTTCTTCCCAGTGGTCTGTCCCAGTACAACACACTATGCTCATTCTTCTCCTCCCAGCAACCTGGCCTGACCCTCTCTGCTACTGCTCGTGTTTCTCCTCCCAGCAGCCTGGCCTGGCCTGGCTTGGCCCTCTGTGCTACTGCTCACGTTTTTCCTCCCAGCAGCCTGGCCTGGACTAGCCTGTTACATTGCTGCTTATACTTCTCCTCCCAGCATCCTAGCTTGGCTCAGCTAGCTGTTTCTCATGATTCTCCTTCCTGTGGTCTGGCCTTGTCCAGCCTGTAGCTTTGCTGCTTAAGCATTTCCTCTCAGCAGGCTGGTGTGGCCACCCTCACTACTGCTCACCTTCTCCCCCCAGTGGTCTGTGAGCATTTTTTATTAAAAGCACCAGGGGAACTGCAGTCTAGAGGCAGGATCAGGAGGAAGGCCAAGGCATTTGCCAAACAGATTTAGGATCTGTGCTGATGACATGTTGTTGAGAATTTCTCAGGAAACTCTTACAACCCTTTGAGACATCCCAAGTAAGGGTTCACTCAGGGTCAATAAAGGTCTTCAAAGAGGCCTAAAGGATGTGAAGGACATGGGGCCTCTGGTAGGATGTGGGGTACTGGTCTCACTGCTCCTGTTGGAGGTCACCATAGAAAGTGGAAGGCAAAGATCACGGGAAACAGTAATCTATGTTATGGACCAATTTTTATAATTAGAGACCTGTAATAAGGACTGTGTCTGCTTTGGTCTCTCAGTGATCATAAAGAAGAGACTCAGAAAGACCGTATGACTCAGGGACTAGGTTTAGATGACACTGTTATGGCATGGGCACCTCATCAACTCAGGACAGGAGGAGAGCAGTTACCAGGGACATTGCAGCACTAAGATACAATGTGTAAGTGGTCATTTTCCATAGATCTTCTGCCACATTGGATCCTGAATGTCTGACATCACCTTTCTTGGAGAGACTGAGACTAGAAAAAACTGGTGAGAAGCTGTGAAAATCTGCCACAAATGTCTCCATTAAAGGACACCTCCAACTCAGAATTCCCTAATGTTCCTCTGCACAAGTATTGATAGCTCAGAGCTATGATGCTTCCGTTATTGGATAATATTTTGGGGGTTCTCAATCTCATTAATAAAAAAGTTTAAAAATGTACTCAAGTGAAAGTCCAAAGATAATCTGTTCAAGTTATGAGGGAATATTTCAAGCTCATGCAAGTATGCAACTCAGCAATCACACAGAGGAGGACAATGGAGAGGTAAAGGGAAAAATACACTCATGCTATTTAAGCAGGTATGGAGGTCAGACATATGATAAACAAACTGACACATGAAAAATGGGGCATTTCTAGAAAAAGTAAAGGAGCCTAAAGTATCAGAAAAGTTATACTTAGATTCGTCCAGTGTCCAAAATCCAAATGAAAGAGACAGAAAAAAAAAGAAAAAAGGAAAAGTCTGATCTGGCCACCCTGGGATAGACAGACCCAACTGAAACTCAACATAGCATGAGGAACTACACTGAGTAGGGAGAATTCTAGGAATGAAATGGATAGTATATCAATTAATGAGAAAAAGTTTAGACACAGAGTCACCTTTTTTTCTTATCCCTTCTGTTTATGGTACAAATGCTGTGAAATTTCAGAGTATGAGTCATTTTTCTTTTTTCTTTATTCACTTACCTACACACAATGATGAGTTTAAAATAAGTATGACTACCTTTAAGATGAGAAATATTTAAAATTTGTCTCTGAAAAGAGGAGAAAGGGAGAAAGGGTTGATTTGTAGTGCTTGTGACATTCCATCATGTGATGACTCTCATCAAGGTCAGTCTCAAGTAACCAGAATTTTAAACTCTCGATGGACAACGAAAATAATTTCTCACAGGCTGGGCCAACCTGTACCTACACACCACTGCACTTAGCATACAACATGAACATGACTCAAGTCCTCTGCCCCTCAACCCTACCACAGGATCAAAGACAGATTCTACAGCATCTACCTGCTCCAATTTTAGCTATCAGAATATGATGGAAAACTAGGTTAAATATAATGACCCTTCTGCTTCTTCCAATATATTTTACTAGTTCATTTTCTCTCTTCTTTTTTATCTCTGCTCAGTGCCATTTTGCCATCAATCTTTTCTCACACCACAATATAAAAATTTGGGCAACCTCAGTGGAACTCTGACACACAGCCTGCTACTACACAGAGTACCAAGAGATAAGTGACCACCCACCAGGCATGACACCCCACTCTCTAGGCCCTCCATACCAGGGGAAGACCCCTGACCCCTCCTGCATGGCTAGAGGTGCTCAGAGAACAACCAGAAGCAGTCAGTACTCTCCCTCCTGGGTCAAAGAATCTAAATTAGTGTGATCAGGCTTAATGGCAAGTGGAGTTAGCTGCTGAGTCATATTGCTAGCCTTTAAATTTTTGTTTGTAAATTATTATTGTGTGGGATGCATGTGTGGAGGTCATAGGACAACACTGTGGAGTTGGCTTGCTTTCTTCCACTTTTACATCTATTTGGGGGGATTGAACTCAGGACATCACAGTTGAACCTTTACCCACCAAGTCATTTCATAAATAGACAGATATAGATATACCTACTAGCATATACGTAGATATACACATTCATAGATAGATATATCTACTAGTATATATGTAGATATACATATCCACAGATTGATACAGATATATCTACTAGTAGTATATATGTAGATATACATATTCATAAATAGATATAGATATATCTACTAGCATATATGTAGATATACACATTCATAGATAGATACAGATACATCTACTAGTATATACATAGATATACATATTCATAAATAGATATAGATATATCTACTAGTATATATGTAGATATACATATTCATAGATACAGATATATCTACTAGCATATACATATATATACATATGTAGCATATACATATATGCTGATGGCAGTTAATCCTTAAAAACTATCAGGCTTCAAACTGACATAAATCTCTATTTAAAATTCTCAGGTACTAAAGCACTTATCAGCATCTTATTTAAGATTAACAAAATTTTCATTATCTCTAGGAGAAGAATATTTTCAAAAACTAACACATAAGAAAAAAACAGAATTTTTAATGAAAAAATTACATTATTACAGGAGCACTGTACATTAGGTTACAATATATACATACATTTTGAAATCTCTTTACAAACCTGTTATAAAGAAAACAGTCTCATACTCACTGATTAAGTCATAGTCTGACAGGATATAAAGAAGAGGAAGCACACACTGGTGGGCCCCAAAGCTTATGTTCCTAGCACTTCTGTGGTGGCTAGGAAACATTTAGTTTGCGTAAGATGTTAAGGTTTAAGCACACTAGCTGCTAACAGAAAATGACTACTGAGAAAGTGTGTTGTGGCTGTTTATCGGTAATTTACTGCTGTATATACAAAGTCTGCTTGCAGGTTTCAAGGAAGCCAGCCTGTGATTGTGAGTTTCTAACTGCTTATTTTAAATGTCCAGCCTACTACTGCAGATGCCACACCTTGTAACACATGATCCAAGGAACGCTTGCCAAACTCTGCTGTGGAGTTGTTAAGGGAATGCCAAATACAGATACTGAAATTTTTATACTTGTTTTTAAGATCTGGTACATTTAGAGAGAATTAAACACTTGAACATGGGAACTGGCCAGCACTGGCATGCTGCAACTATACAGGCGTTTAGAAGGCAAATGATTTTTACACACATTTAGACACCATTTCGTGGAATAACTACTCACAAAAAAGTTAATAGTTGCAGTTTCTCCTAAAAAAAAAAAAAGGACATACAATTGGGTATTTAAGTGGTCAGTTTTCTGTTTTGTGTTGCAGGAAGAATATATGTAGCCTTCTTTCCTTGTATTTAATAATAAAAAATATTAACAGAAGACCTATTCATACAGAATGAAGTGGCAGAAATTATATATTTTTTTTTATTTTTTTGAAGACAGGGTCTCACTTTGTAGCTCTAGCTGTTCTGAAACCTGCTATGTAGACCAGGCTGGCCTCGAACTCACAGAGATCCACTGGAATTAGAGATGTGCACCATTGCTAGAATGGAGTGACAGGAATATAAATATATATGTATATATGTGTGTGTGTGTATATACAACTATATATATATATATTTGTTGTTATTGTTGTTGTTTTCTCTGTGTAGCTCTGGCTGTCCTGGAATTCACTACAAGACCAGGCTGGCCTTGAACTCACAGAGATTGGCCTGTCTCTGCCTCTGAGTACTGAGATTAAAGGTGTGCAGCACCACTGCCTGACTTGGAAATATATTTTAACTGTTTGTTCCTGATTAAACATTAAGCTCTGAATCCTCACAGGAAACTGGCTTATTTCTTAACAAGCATCGCTCCCTAACAATTCAACATCAAAAAGGAATGTCTCCCAAAGAATACAGCTCAATGAATGAGATATTTAATAATAAACCTTAATCATCATTGGAAGGTGAAAACCTATTAGTTCTGGAAAAACAGTTTCTATAACAAGGATAACAAAAAGTATTACCTATCATACAGTTGTAAATACATACTAATATGATCTCATTCCTCATAAGTACAGACTAAGGAAACTCGGGTTTTGAAGTGACTATGAGTTGTGTTGAACTTAGCATAATATATTCAGATTGAGCAACCTGCCTCTATAAATGCTGTCACTAGATATCTTCATTTTTTTAGGAAAGAAAAAGCAGTTCTTACTAACAATGTACATATAATTAGATATGAAATTTGCATTCGATAAGATAAATAATAAACTTTATGTTGACTAGATATAGTTGTAAAGATAATGAACCTAAGAGTTCTACCTACTTCTAAAGAACAGTGTTTTATACTTAGATACAGGCCATGTACCTAAAACATGAATGAGAATGGGAGACACAACAGAAAAGCCAAAGGTGATGGATACCCATGTCAAGTACTGAGGTCAAATTTCATAGTATACTGTTCATGCTTTGAATAGTAAACTTTAATATCCACTTGAAATTCTTATTTTAGTAAAGAATTAAAATTTAAATACACTCATAAATGAATATAGGTTGATTCCTTCTTTCTTTCTTAGTAGGATCTGTCTATGTAGTCCAGGTTGGTCTTGAGCTCACAGAGATTGGCCTGTCTCTGCCTCCTGAGTGCTGGGATCACAGATGAGCACCACTGCGTTTAGCTCAGTTAATTTCATGACAGTTATATTTGAAATTACTAGTTACCCAATCTTTCAAAAAAAGAACTTATAATGAATGTACTGATTATTAGTTATTTGGTACTAGATATAAATATACATATTTAATAAGCAAATATCAGATTGAACATTTTCAAGTTTTAAATATGGACTAAATTTTAAACTATATATAGTTTTATACCTTGAAATATATACATTGTAATACTATCAATTCAGTAAGAACTCTAGTATAGAAAAATGTAAATATCACTTAAATTATTTTCTAGCCAAAAACTGAATATTTAAAAAACAACAAGATTTTGCTACCACCAAGCTCCCTTAACTGATCTGTAAACAGTAGAGAATTATATTTCCCCCATTCTCTGAATTTTTCATCTTTCTATTCCTAAATAGGGATTTACTTCTAATCTCATATAAAATTCATTTATTTGTGTTATTAATCTGATTAATTCAACTTAAACTTTTCAATATTTACCAAGTCATTTAACTTTCTGACAGAAGACCATTAGTACCATTCATTTATAGTTAAAGGTATAAAGCCTAGAGAATAAACCACAAATGCAGTGTCCAGGGATGTGATTGGCAGCTGTGTGCTACTATGCAAATCTACAAGGATGTGATTGGTAGCTGTGTGCTACTATGCAAATCTACAGAAATGTGATTGGTGGCTGTGTGCTACTATGCAAATCTACAGAAGTGTGATTGGTGGCTGTGTGCTACTATGATAATCTACAGGGATGTGATTGGTGGCTGTGTGCTACTATGCAAATCTACAGGGATGTGACTGGTGTCTGTCGGCTACTATGCAAACGTATAGGAATGGGATTGGTGGCTGGGGGCCACTTTGCAAATCTACAGGAATGTGACTGGCAGCACTGTGCTTTCATGTAAGTCTATTGCTCTATCTTTTCAAATAAGACACATAACAAATT